CATACATTCCCATAAACGACATTGCATGATGCATAAATTTTTCAAATGATTATATAATTTGTTAAATGCATCAACTACTGAGCTTATGCTCACTCCAAAAACTAACAATTTTCAGGAATTGAGGATGAGACACCTCTCAAGCGATGATGCCAATAGAGCTAGCATGTTTTGTTGAAGTTTTCTTGGGGAAGTGGTGATGATGATTATATTTTTTTTTAAAATTGATTTCTGTGACCTAACTTTGGGTAAAGCATTGTGATAAGAAAGATGCCCTTTTGGAATACTAATGTCAGCTTCTTACCTCTTTTCTTTGAACTGTTTTAAATGTTTTGAGGAATGTAATGGAACAATTATGTAAACTTTCGCTTTGTGAATAGTTCAAAAGGAAAGAAAACTATGTGTAAATGGTTCTATTGTTTTATTTTGCCTAGATCTTGTATGTTCATATTACTTGGAAGTAGGGGTGGGCAACGGTTTATCTGAACCGTTCAAACCGCCGCTCAAACTGCCCAACCCGCCCAACCCGTATATAAATGGGCGGTTTCGCAAACATAATGCAGGCAAATGCGGTTTGAAATATGACAAATTTGCGGGTTGTGGGCGGGTCGCGGGTTAAACCCGCAATCCACAAAAACCGCCCGCACTTTAATTATTATTATTACTATTTTTTTTTATATACCAGCTTTGTAACTTTAACAAAAGCACCATTATGTTCTCTATGACACTAGGATCCTTATTTTTAAGTATTTCTCAACTTTCTTAATGCCGTAGAATTATCAAATTCTAAACTTGGTTTCTTATATGATTTTCATTGGTGACTCATCCGCTTTTTCCTAATAAGATTTTCCTTCTGGTGGTCGATGGAGCTTCTAGTTTGATTATTAATTACTGAACTGACAATTCTAATTGAGTACAACCTTTAATGCATTGATATACATTTTTTTCATGGCAAAAATGCTAGTGTAGGGTCTCTTTGTTTTGGGTACTTTCATTTAATGCATTGATATTGAATTTTTATTTGTAACCTCATCAGAAAATTATTGTCAGATGATCACGAATATATAAAATGAATCTGATGCCTAAATTCGATGGGAAAAAAAAACTCAAAAATTAATTTTTAAAGAAAGAAGTGTAAACCGTAAACCGCCCGCAATCGCCCGCACATCTGCAAACCCTATCCGCACAAACCGCACATCGCACTGCAGGCGGTTGCGGGTTAACTTTTTCCCAAACCGCATAGATGCAGGTGGGTCAAAACCAAACCACAAACCGCACAAAACCGATCCGTGAGCACCCCTACTTGGAAGTGCAATTGTATGAAAAGGGCCTTTCGGGGCGTCACAATTTGGTATCAGAGCGAACCAGGTTGAATACCTGAAGCTTGTGGGAAGCGACTTTGCCGCATAGGGCTATTACGTTAGATAGGGGAAATAGTGGATTGTTTTGTGTGTCTTAAATTGATTTCTTTGATTGTGTAAGTAAGGAGTTAAACTCTTAGGACACGACTTGTGTCCATTGCAATCATTGAAATCCTTTTAGAAAGGCACCTGATCAATGCTTTTTTCCACTAGGAAATCTCTGAGTGCCATTGAACTAGTTAAAATCCTGGGGAAATAACTCATGTGTGCACTATGTGTTTATGTGAGTATGTGGTGTGCGTTATGTGATTTAATTGCCCAATGATGCATTTAACTGGTGCATGTAATAAGAGAGTTAGCATCTATCGTGTGTGGGTTAAGAGTTAGTTCTTATCCTTGTTTTCATATAGGATGTCAGGACGAGGAAGAGGGGGTCGAGGTAGACCCTATAGAGATCGCTAGGCTACGCCACGCAGCAAGATCTCCTTCTCCAAGAAGAAGGGGTAGGGCAGAATGACACGGCCGTTCCGCTGGCCCAAGATGCAATAAGGGCATTAGCTCGAGAGAGGCAGGCGCCCTCTACGAATCCATGGAAATCCTCCGAGCCGAGCAAGTGGCAAGGACAAATCGAAGGGGAATCCCGAGTCTCTTTCTTGAAGAATGAATTCTTCCGCTCTAACCCTGTGGAGTATAGTAGCGAGCTTAATCCTATGAAGGTGGATAAATGGTTAGAGCAGATTGTTAAATCATTTGAGATTTTAGACATTAACGATAGGGAGCTTAGGGTGGCCTTGGCGGTGTATCAATGAAAAAGAGAGGCCGGTCAATGGTGGAAGACAGTAAAGCACAAAGTGGAGCATACTTGGGAGGCGTTCGTTCATGCCTTTCAAGAGAATTTTTTGCCTCTTACAACCAGGGAAAGGTTGAGGAAACAATTCGAAGAGTTGCAGCAAGTAGACACACCAGTGGCGGAATTTGAAGCTATGTTCACTAGTTTGGCACGTTTTGTGCCTAAACTCATAGCTACTGAAGAACATCGGTGTTTCAAATTTGAGAAAAGGTTAAAGCCTAAAATACTAATGAAGGTGATGGGTCATGTGTATCGGGAGTATGATAAGCTGGTGGAAGCTGCGGCATATGTGGAGATTACGATGGAGGTCGATGAAGCAAGGCAAAGACATAAGAGGCTAAACTATGTCGAATCAAAAAGCGATTCTGGATCTTCCAAGAAATCAAAGAGTTCCTTTTCTTTATCTTCTCAGTCCATGCCCCAACTAACCAAGTCATCATAATCCGTTTCTATGAGAAGTTCGGGAAGTACAGGCCCCAACCGTGTCACTTGTTTTCGATGTGGCTAGTAGGGCCACAAGGCTTCAAATTGTAATTGGAATCTTAAACGTCAACAACAAGCTCATTCTCAAAGTCCTGTCCAAGGAAGGGGCCAATCGCCTGCATACTACTATTGTGGATAGTCGGGTCACATTAAAAGGTCCTGCCCATAACTAATTGGACGGGTCCTGAAATTCTGGGGGTTATCAGTTAGGCCAAGGTCAGAGACAGGGGTACCAGCTTGTTCAATCATACCTATGTATCCACGTGTCAATTATTTGTCTACCTAATCTACCGATCTATCCATGTCACTACCACTACTATCACTCCTCGTCGGAGATCGACACTAGCTACTTCTAGTGACTTTTCCAACGTTGGTGATTTTTCCGGTGATTAATAGTTTGACAGTGATCTTGTGTCAATGAGTAAAATTAAATAAATTATTCTTTAAAATAATAAATTATTATTTTCATAAAATTTCATTAATTATATATCCTTACAACTAAAATACAACAATTTCTTGAATGTAATGTTAGAATTAAATTTCTCAACAAATTTTCCAAAGCCATACTACTTTGTCAAAACTTGAAACTGCAACACAATAATTATTCCATATGAAAGCAAACTATAATACTACTTTTTTCAAAATTCATCAATTATAAATGTAACTAAAAAAACAAAATTCAATTATAAGAAGGACCCACTACTCTCTTTTTTTTTTATCAAAATTGTGGAGCCGAAAAATTTTGAGAACTATTCTAAATATATATTTTCTAAAGTACATAGCATTTTTGTTTAGATAATGGCATAGAAGTTGAACAATTTAAAAGTTGACAACAATGGGCTCTCATTTTCAATTATTACCAACAAATAATAATTCAGCGAAAGGTGCCACGTCTTATTGGTAAGTCAATTTGGTATAAAAATTTAATCATCACAGTATTACTCTGAGGAGAGAAAAAAAATTGAATGAACAAAAATATCATTCCAAAACTAATCACATTATTTGTTTGGAAACTATGCTTTAATGACAAAAATATCAAAACTTACATTTCTACTAATGAGATTATTGTGTCCTTGTGATTCATGCATTGGTTTAGTTATGGATTGTCTATTAATATTATAAGTTCATTTAGAGTAATGCGAAGTTTTTGTATGTAAATTATTTTCTAAACTTTCACCCCAATAAAACTATATGACAAGAGAGAGGAACATGAATCATGAAAATATACAAATGCAATATCCAATAAGTTAATTGCGGAAACAATTCGAAGAGTTGCGGCAACTAGACACACCAGTGGCGGAATTTGAAGCTATGTTCACTAGTTTGGCACGTTTTGTGCCTAAACTCATAGCTACTAAAGAACATCGGTGTTTCAAATTTGAGAAAAGGTTAAGGCCTAAAATACTAATGAAGGTGATGGGTCATGTGTATCGGGAGTATGATAAGCTGGTGGAAGCTGCGGCGTATATGGAGATTACGATGGAGGTCGATGAAGCAAGGCAAAGGCATAAAAGGCTGAACTATGTCGAATCAAAAGGCGATTCTGGATCTTCCAAGAAATCAAAGAGTTTCTTTTCTTTATCTTCTCAGTCCATGCCCCAACTAACCAAGTCATCATAATCCGTTTCTATGAGAAGTTCGGGAAGTACGGGCCCCAACCGTGTCACTTGTTTTCGACGTGGCTAGTAGGGCCCACTACACTTTTTTCAAAATTCATCAATTATAAATGTAACTAAAAAAACAAAATTCAATTATAAGAAGGACCCACTACACTTTTTTTTTTATCAAAATTGTGGAGCCGAAAAATTTTGAGAACTATTCTAAATATATATTTTCTAAAGTACATAGCATTTTTGTTTGGATAATGGCATAGAAGTTGAACAATTTAAAGGTTGACAACAATGGCTCTCATTTTCAATTATTACCTACAAATAATAATTCAGCGAAAGGTGCCCCGTCTTATTGGTAAGTCAATTTGGTATAAAAATTTAATCATCACAGCATTACTCTGAGGAGAAAAAAAAAAATTGAATGAACAAAAATATCATTCCAAATCTAATCACATTATTTGTTTGGAAACTATGCTTTAATAACAAAAATATCAAAAATTACATTTCTACTAATGAGATTATTGTGTCCATGTGATTCATGCATTGGTTTAGTTATGGATTGTCTATTAATATTATAAGTTCATTTAGAGTAATGCGAAGGTTTTGTATGTAAATTATTTTCTAAACTTTCACCCCAATAAAACTATATGACAAGAGAGAGGAACATGAATCATGAAAATATACGAATGCAATATCCAATAAGTTAATTGCTTGCAAGCTCTTACAACAAATAAATGGAAATACAAATTTTGTTTCCAATAACAATCTTGCTCAGAACACATCATTTTTTATCATATTTTTTGCCCTCTACTCATCATTGAAGCAAAACTCACATTGTATAATTGTGTAAGTTGCACTCTTGTTATGAATACACAATTAAAAATATGATTAAAAATAGTGTGCCTCTAAACTTATTCTATCACACAAAAACACAATGAATTTCTTCACCATACCATGAATGTAAAAGACAAACCCTAGTGGACACATGAAAATCACAAAGAAAGTACTTTTAATGAAATTTCATCGTCCTCCCACTCCTCCTTTCATCACCTACATCCTTCCCTGAATTGCATCAACCACCGTCATATTAACTTGAAATGTCTTGGCAAGAACATCACCAGAAATCATTGGTTTTGATCAGAAAACAGCGTTAGCCACCGTGATAACACCAGGGTTTTGGCTGCTTGACCCAGCAATTGCGATAGCACTTCCATACCCAACATTCCTTTCATAATGAATGAGTCCTATTGGGAACACAAACACATCACCTTTCTGAAGAACTTTACTAATAAAACGGTTTTCAAGGTTGGAAGTAACAAAGCCGACCTCAAGGGTGCCTTTGAGGATGGTGAAGATTTCAGTGGCACAAGGGTGGATGTGAGGAGGTTTAAGGCCCCACGGAGCATAGCCGATGCGGACCATGGAGACGCCGAGGGTGTTGAGCCCTGGAATTTGGGCTACAGTGGCTGGGGTGATGGCTGAGCCCAATGGGTTTAACGTGTTGCCTGGTAGGTTGAGGCCCATTAAGGAGAAATCTGATGCTTGAGCGAGCATGGGGTTTCTGCATACGAAGCCATTGACTCTAACTGTGACACATGAACCAAAAACAAGAACAACACAATAGCAAATAATATACAATCAAATAATAAAACAAAGGGACTAGGATTCTCTGTCCAAAAAGTTTCAAAAAATTCATATCCCCTGTTTTCTAGGATGATTATTTTATTTAAATTATAATATAAAGTCCAATAAATATAACTCTATTTGGTGCACTTTATGAGACTATTTATTTATTGAAGTATTTGGTTCAAAATAGTGTAATTTTTATTTACAGTTTATGAGTAAAAATAACTTTTCAATTATATATTGTAATTGTTATAGCTAGTACAAAATCAAGTGAATGTATAATACTTACTAGTATTATTTATTTACTATTTGTTTAATGAAGGTCAAACCCAATGATTAACACTATATGCTCATTTTTTATTTTTTTTTAAACTTCAAGCAGGTGAAAATGAATCAACTTTAGCCCCCATGCATGTGTGTGGGAGTTTAATGGCGCAAAATAATATGTTTTTAAATTTGTCTACCCTTCTATTCTAATGAATTTCCAGTCATAAAATAGTGTTTTGAGATCGTTACATAATTCTATGACTCAATATATATTAGAACAGAAGAATTAGGAGGAAAATTGTCTTTGAACGAGTTTAATGGCATCAAAGCATGATGATTTAATGTACATCTAAATTTGGTATGAGGATAACAAAGAACTTAAAAGTGGTGAGATATTAAGTGGGTGTGAGATCATCTGTCTCACTTCTTGTATTGTTCTGTGTTTCATATTTTTCTTTATCAATGATTTTTGTGACATAATAATATGAGATAAATACGAGACAAATATATGAGACAATGAGTGAGACAGATGATACGATGCTACAATGAAATTAAAGAAAAGCTTGGAGTAAGAAAGCAATATACCAGAGCTATCAGTGTCTGCAACACAGAAGTCCTGCAAAGGGTTAGGTTCAAAGGAATGGACAACAGAGCAAAAACTGATCAGAGCTACCAAAGTCAATAACAAAGATTTGATTTCCATCTTGAAAAGCCCTTTTTCAGTTTTTGTAACTAATAAAACTAACAAATATTAGTAGATAAAGAGGAAGAAGATGAAATGGATGCACACAAATGCAAAAGTTAGAGCTTGAGGAGTATGGAGATGTGAAAAACAAACATGTGTTGAGCTCTATATATATAGGGAGAGAGAGAATTATTAATTTATTTCTATTTGATTTTAATGATTGCCGTCCAAGAAAACCAGAAGAAATCTGCATAGGTACTAAACTTCCCCAATTAGCTACTTTTAGTTGGTTTAGGAATCTCTACACAATTCTTTGTACTCAAAATTTCGGTTTCATGTACTCAATGCATTCTATTTACATGACCGTGTCTCGATTTTTTTTTTCTCTTCAAAATTCCCACTATATTGTCTGGTTGGGAGGATCTTTGTCTGTCACGTCCCTTCCTCTGTCAATGTTCATGGTACAAAGGATGGGATAAGGGTTCATGCACATTTGGTTGCTAGATAAAAGAGAGAATTGGACGAGTTCTTCATTGTATTGGATTCATTTATTCCATATTTGGTTGTACATTTTGATAATAGGATAGTGTGTCACGATATGATACTCTATCCTTTTGAAATAGGATAACTCAATTCCATAAGGAGTGATAAAATGTAATAATTAACCGTATACTAATGTCATCCAAACTCGTCCTTCTCAAACATGAGATATGAAAATATGTATTATCATTCACATTACTCTATTGTTTTGTGGGACTTATTATCCCACACTACCTATTTCAAATCCTCTCCTCATCTTGTGTGCCAACCAAAAGCGACATTTCAATTTATAGCTAACCACATGAATACAGATAATATGGTGATTAACATTTTAATAAAAATAGCCAAATACACCCTGAAACTAAGTTAAACTTAGATCAAACAATAAAAATTAAGATAAACGGCAATGAGACTACAAAAAATTCTGCAAATTTTTTTTTTCTTTTAAAAAAAAAAGTCCTTTAAAAGTTGAAGAACATTTCTTGGGTTGAAGACAAGCTGGCTCAATTTTTTAGTCAAAACACTGAAATGATCACCTTTGCTTAACTTATTATTAGTTTTGTAACCGCTTTTGCATTCAGTCTTTTTCATAATTCATCACATTGAAAATTGTCAAATTTTAAAAAAATAAAAAAAAACTATAAAATATATTTAATAGCTTTAAAATAAAACAAAAGAAAGCTATAATATCTATACATCAAGTCTGTAGAATGGAGCAAGGCAGGTGCAACCTCATGTTCCTTATCTATACTTCTCAACATTGAACATAAATTCAGACTAAAGCAAGCTTTGAGCAGAATTTTAGAGTTTTGTACTCATAATTTGCTACTTTTAAGCATGATTCTTATCTAAATTCAATCTGAAAAGTGTGACTTTTAACCATTATTGTAGTAGTGACTCTATTGAAATGTTTTATACATATGGATATCCTATGCTATCTGTGTTTGAAAAAGTATATAAATGACATCCTTAGTTAGTCCCATGTACTAGGGGACAACAAACTTACTAATACCTCATAAGAATGAGATCTTCTTTGCCTCGTGTGTGTAGTATTCGGTTGTCATGCCCTTCATTTATTCAATCTCATAGTGATATAGTTGTATAGTAGAGTAGGTTGTATACACAAAAACAGAGCTCTAGCCATGGCTACATCCTTTTGGAGTTGTATTAAAAAAAAAATTAAGAACGAAATTCTAAAGCCAACAACATTTTCATGAAAACCATGAAGAGTGTGACACCTCTCATGCCACCTGACAACCAAACTAAACAATAATGGATTGAAGCAACCCAATTAGAGGCATAACCACAACAAACAACCATGGTCTGAACCAACCCAAAGAAGCACAACCTCCACCAATGTGAAAAATGATTAGCAAATACACTATGGTGGTATCCTAAGATTTCATTTTCCTGATGTTCTCAATATTAGTTTTGATACATATCTTTGCTAATATTAAAAAAAAAAAAAATGGCAACTAAATTATTATATATACATGGAATTTAATTAAAAATAATGTCTCTTTATCTCATTTCTTTCTACTATCATTATACTATTTAGCTTCTAATGAATTCAGGCACATTCTTAAGTTGAAAACAATTACAAGTAATCTCACTTTTTCTGAGTTAAATAAGCTAAAAAAATCAAATAATCTAGAATCTAGAATTGCAATCAAACACCATCAATTGACCTTTTTTTAATCCAATAATCAAACTAAACCCAACGATTTGTATATATAAAAAAAAACAAAATTCAAAACAATTAAGAAATGAATTGAACAAATACAAATTCTATTAAGAGAGTGGAATTGAACAAATACAAATTCTATTATATATTAAAATTAAGAATTCTATTAATACAAATTCTTTTAATCAATTGGGCTCTACCAGCATACGACAACACTTTATTAGCCCACGATTGAATCCTGTTAGTAATCCTAGCAACCAATTGATCAGAATCTATTTTACACAACTTAGTAGAGACAAGAGGAACCCCCAAATACCTCATAGGAAGCTTCCCCTCTTTAAAATCCAGAATAGAAAGCAACTCACCTATCGAGTGACAGTCCATATTCCAGCAAAGAACATACGGCTCTTAAGATGAAAATCTTATGGGACTCTATTTATGAAAAATCTTATTCATTCATATACATTTTTTTGTCAAATTCTACAAAATTGATATCTGTGTTGCAAATTTATTCATAATTATATACGCATATGACTAAAAGGAAGATAGATATCTAGAGGAAGCAATAAAAGCTTTATTTTTGATACAATCTGAAATCTAATTCCAATGAGATGCAAAAAATGTAGACCAACTAAACTAACCTGAGCTGATCAAGAAACAAATGATGCCATATTACTGTCGTGGCCATCAAAAATCAACCAGCCCTTGGAATTGATCTTAAACCCCAACAAATTAGGGCCTTCTAGATGACTATTTAAACCCTTCATCAATCATTCTTTGTTTTAAAATTTTAGCTGATAAAGCAGAGAACTCATCATCGGTTGTGAGAGTGGATTGCCATATATAGAACTCATCATCTGATCGCCATATATAGAACTCATCGAGGATTTGAATTGGGGTTTCGGTTTAGGAGGGTTTTAATTAGGGTTTGGGAGGGTTTCAAAGGGTAGATCGAGATGGAGAGAGATGGTGAGGCAGAGATTGAGAGCGAAGGTGAGGCAGAGATGGAGAGAGGGTGAGATAGAGATGGAGCACTCCAACTGGGACTGATCTTCGCCGGATGTCGGAGGTGAGGGCTTGGCCAGAAAGAGGGTCGGGGTTAGAGAAGCAGGCGGTGGAGAATCTAGGGTTTGTAGTTGTAGTGATGGTCACTCTAGAGAAGAAACAAAGAAAAAATGATGGAGAGAGAGAGAGAGAGAGAGAGAGACACTGAGTTCTAATGCTAGGTGGTAAATTTTTGTTTTGGCGCTATTTTTTTAGTCACATCTTTTAGGATAGCATTGTGTATTATGGAAAGTGTAATATTTTAAACGGTTAATTTTTTGTGCATTGTGAAAAGTATAATTTTTAATGATTAATTTTTTGTGTATTGTGAAATATTTAATATTTTATCAATTTGTATAGGAGTGTTGTGTATAGTTGATGAATTAACGAAATGTCATATGCACATCATAAATTTTTTTATTATTTACGGCTAACATTGTAAGTCGTAAAAAAATTATCATTATTAGCAATTACAACCTACGCAATACACACATTGTGGTTGAGAAATTATTTACGATATGCAAAAAAAATAAGTCGTAAAACTAAGAAACCACAGCTTACATTTTTTGTATATTGTTGATATGAAGTTGTAAAAACTCAATTTTGTAGTAGTGGATAAACATAAAAGGGATAAAAAAATTAAAACCTTTTTTTTTTCATTGCCACTTAATACATCAAAATTTTTCCACCAAAATTAGTAACAACATTATTTCCTCACCAGAAGATATCAAAAATATTAAAAAAATTTGGTAACAAAAGGATATTCCTCATAAATAATTTTATAATTAGTGATCAATTTTTTCCTCACCAAAAGTCTCAAAATTTTGGCACCACCCAAAAAAATTAACGAGAAAATTTTTGGTGACGAAACTTAATTTTTTCTCATCTAAAGGAAGGTATTTATTGACAAAAATAAATTTCGTCACCTATCATTTTTATTTTTTTTATTATATGTAACAAAATTTATTTTCTTTACTAGTTTTCGTCATTAAGAGACGCTGATGGAAGAGAACACGAGGCACCGAAGGAGATGGGTGGACAGGTTCGGAGATGCGACGTCGACGGTGGCACTGAAGAAGGAGAACGGGCAACGTCGGTGGTGGCGCTAGAGGAGAACACTCTGAAGGAGGACTAACTTGTGTTTTGTTTTGAGAGAGAGATATGAGAGGAAAACTGATAAACAAAACAAAACCAAAAAAGGAAAAAACTAGTAGTCTAATTTTTTTTCTGCTTAATTTGTCAAAATTTTACCTTCAAAATTAGTGAATTCGTAGTATAAAAATTCATATTTTCAAGTGTAAAAAAAAGGGGGGAAATTTTGTATTTTTAAAAAAAAAATTCACAAATATTATACTTTTTAAGTATATTTATGTTATGTGTGTCTAAAAAATTTTTTAAAAAAAATTAGAATATTAAAAAAATTCATTAAAAACATAATTCGGAAAATAAAAAAGTAGAATTTTCTGAAACCCAAAACCGAACAAGCTGATTAGTAGCGAAATTATATTTCTCACCATATAATCTTAAAATTTTTAAAATCAAGTTTTTCAAAAATAAAAATGTAAAATTATTGGTGACGAAAATATATTCCTCACTAAAAATTTTATAATTGGTGACAAATTTTTTTCTCATCAAAAGTCTCAAAATTTTGGCGCCACCAAAAACATTTAGCAGGAAAACCTTCGATGACAAAATTTAATTTTTCCTCACCTAAAAAGAAATATTTATTGACGAAAATAAATTTCGTCACCAATTATTTTTATTTTTTTATTATATGTGACAAATTTTTATAATTTGTCATGAATTACTCTTATTTAGTGACGAAATTTATTTTATTCATTACTTTTTATCATCATAGGTTACTTTTGTTGTAGTCTAGTGGTTTCTCTGAGCTGTGTTTGCATTGCTAAATATATCTACTGAATTGTGGTTTAACTTTGCATATCTAAACATCATTTATATTTTTTAGATTAGATATCACTCTCTTGAAGAAGAAATAGCCTTTGGACCTGGTTGTTGGTTGTGGGATTATTTAAGAAGTGGGCTTCTAGTTTTCTGCATCCACTTTCTAGTGGTGCTGGGTTCTAAGGCACATAATGGTTATGTTTACAAAATTGGAATTGGCTAAGCCCATAGAGGCCATAGCCCACTATAAACACCACAAGCCCATCACTTGAAGCCCAGTACATAACCCAGCTGGGGGAGTCTAGAACAGCTAGAACCCAGCATGGCACAAAGAGCCAATGACATTCAGACACGTGGCAGGTGAAGGCCGAGCCACATCAGCAGACAAAGATCTGCAAAGTTATTGCCACTGCACATCACCATTAATGCGGCCCATCACAGCATTTATTACGACAACACCTCTCCGTCGGAACAGGACCCCCTTACCCTGAACAAGGTAAGCTACAGCATAAACTTTCAGCAAGGAGGGCAGGTCGGAAGGGACAGCGAAATGATCACCAAAGGATATAAGCAAACGTTGAAGACAAGAAGAAGGTTAAGCTTTCTATCTCTAATCTCTCCCTCTATACTCTACTTCTCTTCCTAACTTGCTCGTCGGAGGGTTCATTGGGGGACTACCCCGTTCCCCGTTGAACTTGTTTGCAGGTTATCCGGTGGGCTTGATCATTTGGACTTGGGCTTGAGGACCTTGGACCAGTCCGATTCATTCACTGGGACAAACTACACCAAACAGTTGGCGCCGTCTGTGGGAAGTGGTTCTTATCCAGACGTCAGTTGTGCTCATTGTCACCGGAGACCCTGTCCTAACAACCTCTTCCCCCTACCCATCCAAGTGTATGGTCACGACTAGATCCATGGCCTCTCACCATAATGCTGCCGACCATCAAACCGACCCTCCCAATCCAAACAACCCACCACAGTATAGTGTTGAGCTTACCAACAGCATTAACCGCATGGCCGAACAAAACCAGGCCCTGATAAATGCTTTACTCCAAAGAAACCTTCCGATGCCTTCTCCACCACCTCCAGATATTTCACCCAACCAAGAAAGAGCCCTAGTCATACTGTTCGGCAACCGCAACCCTATCCACCCAACTTGGAAGGTTTGCAACCTCCTCCCCTGCACATAAATCTACCACCTCCATCTCCACACCCTTCGGTCGTGGCACCAGCCCCTGAAGGGGAAGCCAGCAGTGTCCAGCCCCCATTGACTGACCATGGTGACCACATTCCTCTCTGGGACGCTAAACTCCGAGCAATGAAGCTCCAGCTCCAAGGGGTCATGTAGAACATTCAGTATAAACCCTCTACCACGGCAAGCTCACCATTTGTTACCTCCATCTAAGACAAACCTTTGCCCGCCAAGTTCAAGATGCCCACCATTGACTCTTTTGAAGGTACGACGGACCCAGTCGACCATCTGGAGACCTACCGTACCCTCATGATCCTCCATGCCTTCCCTGACGAGATCATGTGCCGGGCTTTCCCCGTGACACTGAAGGGGTCAGCTCGACTGTGGTTCAGCCAATTATCAGCAGACTCTGTCTCCACTTTTCAGCATCTCAGCGACTCCTTCCTCTGCCATTTCATTGGAGCCCAGCGCCAACGCCGCCCTGCAACCCAACTCCTCAACATCCGTCAGACCGAGGAGGAGTCGCTGCGTAGCTTCGTTACCCGCTTCAACACCGAAGCCGTGCAAGTAGCGGAGAACGACGACAAGGTCATCCTCACGGCTTTCATGGCCGGGCTACGATCGTCCGATTTCCTCTTCTCCCTCTCCAAAAACCCCCCAACCTCCATGGCAGCCCTACTCTCCAAAGCCTAGAAATACATGAATGCCGAAGATTCACTAGCTGCTCGGCACGATCCAATATCTAAAAACTCGACCCCCAGAGAAAAGAGAAAAGACTTAGAACCCAGAAACACCCAGGATAACAGCCAAACACCCCACTATACCGACCGACCTCCTCGTGCTGACCGGTCGGCACCAGCCCGACCGACGGTCGGTTCGAGCGGTACACGCCCCTTAATTCTCCCATGGAACAAGTCCTCCACCAGATCCAACGAGACTACCCCCTCAAATGGCCCCTACCCTCACAGACCCCTTCCAACCGGAAAGACCAGTCCAAATATTGTTGTTTCCACCAGGACCACGGCCACAACACTGATGACTACATCAACCTCAAGGATTAGGTCGAGACCCTCATTCGTCAAGGGCGTCTCAGCCGATTTACGGACACCCGCCCACAGCAGAGGCAAAGAACCGAGCCCCTCAGAAATAACCGCCGACGTATCCCACCCCAGCAGCCAGCCCAATCTAACCAAAGCCATGATCGCCCCCCACAACAGCCTTGGTCTCCAGGTAATCCCCCTCCGCCAGTTGGTGAAATCTGAGTCATTTTAGGTGGCCTTGCTTGTGGGGGACCATCCCACTCCGCTCAGAGGGCAGAGCTCAAGAAGATAAGGCAAGGCTCGGACAGAGCAGTTGCCACCGTAGATCGACCCTCCAAACAGCCCAAGCAGTGGACAGAGCCCATCACCTTCACGGACGCCGACTGTACTGGCATCCGTTATCCTCATCATGACCCTCTCGTCATTTCTGCCCTCCTCTCCAACTATAAGGTCAGACGGGTTCTCATCGACAACGGCAGTTCTTCAGACATCATATTCTTCAGCTGCTTTCGCCAGCTCAAAATTGGGGAGGAAAGTCTGTCTCCCCTCCAAACCACTTTGGTCGGCTTCACTGGTGACCGGGTGACCTCCATTGGCTCCATCGATCTCCCCATTACCATCGGCGAATACCCACGGCAGACTACCAAGTTGCTCACTTTCCTTGTGGTCGACTGTCCCTCTGCCTACAACATCATCGTTGGTCGCACCGCCCTCAACGCTTTTCAAGCCATCACTTCAACCTACCACCTCGCCATAAAGTTCCCTACCGACCAGGGCGTCGGGACAGTACGGGGAGAGCAGACCATAGCCAGGGAATGTTATGTCGCCTCACTTAAGGAAGTCAAGCTGAAGGAGGCCATGATCATTGAAGGACTTGACGACCGAGATGAGGACGAGTTGGTCAGAGGCGAACAAGTGGAGGAGCTTATTGAGGTTCCCATCGATCCCACCAACCCTATGAAGACTGCCAAAATCGGCAGCCAACTATCCCCCCAAGCTAAGGCCGACCTTACCGCCCTTCTGATCGAGCATAATGATGTGTTTGCCTGGA